TGAGATTGATTACCAGCAACTATCCCCAGCATTTTTCTCAGCACAGATTCCTCTAATACCATAGGGCCTGCTGAGGGATATAGCAGGACTTCTTGTACTGCTGTCTAGGCCTGCTGCAGAGCTTTATTATCTGGTAAAAGGGTTGGAACAATATTCTGAATTACTAAACACACTTGCTCAGGTGATTTAGGTCCTGTTGTCATAACGATCATCCTCTCCTTCAGACAATGGTTCCAGATCTGAGAGCTGACTCAGGTTTGGAAACTGAGCTAGTGACTTTTTACCATGACAACTGCCTCATATTTATTTTTATTTTATAAATTGATACTTGTTGACTGCCCATTTATCTTTCCTCTAGGAAATTCTATTAAGCATTTTCATAGCTCTCTGTGGATTGGGTCCCTGGATACCACATGTCTTGGCATTTATTGCAATAAGTGTGCACACCTTGCTTCTGACAGTTAAGTCTTGCTACTTGGCCTCTGTTATTTCAGGAGTCTATCATCCTTATTTCTATTGAAGAGCCCAGTTCTGTAGCAGTGTCTCCTCCAGTCAACCCTGGCATACACAAGAGCAACTCCATTGAGATTCTCAGTGACTGTAATGCTCTTAACAATGCATTTCTTATCACTTTGGTAAATGGTATGTCCTCTGGGCCTTCTCTTAGAATGCAGTCAGCTGGTGGGTTTTCCGTCCCCACATAGGCTATGCACTCCAGCATGTCCACCTCTCTGAGTTGCCTGGCACCTCTTCCAGTCTGCCTTGGTAGTCATGGCATTTCCACTTCACTTACTATAGGCTGTTGCTGCTTTCTCCAAGCTTCCAAGAGTCATCTTATCGCCCCTGCCAGAGTGATCAATCTCGTGTCCTGGGAGAGTGCTCCCATTATCAATAAACTCTTCTTTATCCTACTTTGGTCAGTCTTCTCCATGATTGTACAGCTAGCTATGAAAATGAGCCAAATAATTCCTTTTGTGTGCAAAAGAGTACTATAACATCCCTTCATTAAGGACTGGCTGGCTACAAGAGAGGGAGACCTGCTATATCCCAACCCAGGTTCTGAGATGAAGAAAATGAAGCCCAAAAGTGTGGCTTTCTAGAGATCCACCATCTTGCAGTGATGATACATTATTAATATATTTTTTATTCAATTTTTAAAGTCAAGGTGAAAAGGTTATATGGGTTATTCCAAAATGTGCTTTGGTTTTGCATACATATAATGTGGTCCCATATTTGGTCTCACGTACAGTGTCTATAAATGCAAGAATAATGGCTTAATTAGTATCTCTGCTAACTTTAATTGTAGGTTTTATTGTAGAGCACACTTTTCTGTGGGGGAAGGGGGAAGTCAGGGAAGCAGTGGGCACAAATGTTTCCAGGCTTTGCAACAAAAAGGTGATTCTTTTTATTGATATTAACTTTGACTCTGATTTTTTTCAACAAAGTTCTTTATCTTTTAGCATTGTTTATCTGAAACTCTCTTTGAAATCCATCATAAAAGTGAAAAGAAGAGTTGCAAATACGATCTATCCAGCACTTATGCACACAGTTACACAGGTTGTGTACTTCACGAGGGCATGACACTTCTAAGGGGGCACGGTTCACAGAGTAGACATCATGGATTTGCATATTTATAGAGAATTTTCCAGCAGATGGCAGTACAGTGTGTTGCTCTAACAAAATAAGACTATTACTGCCAGATGGAAATAAAGTATCTCAAGGACTGGGCAGCTTTTATAGTTATACAAAGATATACAGACTAATGGTGGTAGCATTTACTACATGCCAAGCTTTCTGGTCACTCATCCTCATTTAATCCTCAGAATCTGATGAAGTGAGTGCTATTAGCAACTTGCCAAGGCCACTGACTGGGGTTGTAGTTTTGAGATTCTTATAAGGGTCTACTAAGGCCCGGAGACTTGAGGAGACTTGCTGTGGTCAGAGCTAGCATGACCTAAGGTCAACCAGAAGCCTAGCGGCTCTTACTCTCAGTCCAACCTGCTGCTAGTTCTCCTGCGTGTTCACCACAGTACTGGGTGACACTGCCGAATGACAACAGGGCACATTTCACTCATGTAAGTAAAAGGTCATCTTTAGTTAGTGAAGAAAAATATGGGAAAATGCTGACATTCCCGTTGGCACTTTACACACTTACATTGTATGATTCAAACTATACATGCAACAGATATATAAAAAACAGAAAACTCAATATAGGTTATAATAGTTTTCATAGAGTTGGACTTCTTTATATTCAAAAATACTTTAAGTAAACATTTACTATCAGTAATGTGTAAGTTTTAGCAAGAGTGTATTACCAAAAATTCTATATACATGCAGAAATTTAGAGGCTTTAATGTATGAATATCTATACCAAATCACCTTGCAATAATTATATATTGGTATAATATTCTTTATCCAACATTCAGTTTAAATCTACTTTAGAAAATGTATCAATCATGATTAAATGAAGCCCATTTATAAATATTTTGTATTGCCCTCTAACTTAATTCCCAAGGAATTATTTTTCCCTAAACCCACTAAAATTAAAAACAATGTGAAAACTCTATCACCCATGAAACAAGCAACCTGTGGTAACTTTTTAATTTTAAAATAACATGTATAGCATGAATACATTTTTCTAGCTGTAAAAAGGCTTGGAGAGCTATTTGGAATTATCTGTTTGTTAATGGCAATTGTTTTGGGTTGTGAGATCTGGAGTCATGTTTTTGCTTCTTTCTTTATCCATTCATATACTGCCTATTTTTTTTTAATTAACTTATTAATACCTCCAAAACAATAAAACCTACCATTCTTTAAAGTAATAACACTGAATATGCATCTAATTTTGTGTCCTACCAAGTCCTCATAAAAGCAAAGCAACATGAGTATATGTTACCAGAAAAATAAGTGCATAAACAAATCTAATTTTAAAAGTCAAGAGTCTCTTAAACTGGTAAATGTAATAATTATAGGACAGTCACTTGATCCTTTTAATCTCTGAAAGAAGCAGAACAGCTACAAGTCAACACTTTCTAACCAGTGAATTCTGTGGCAGAATAAGCCACAGTGTACATAAACCTCAACATTTGGTAGCACCTATCTTAATCAAAGAATTGGCTGTTTGAAAACACAACAGAAAATTTCTTCATTCTTTCAAGGTTAGTTTCTAAACTTGACATCTAGGATGGGAGATGGGCCTCACCCAGGAATTTAAGGTCAGAGTTTATGTTAAGCAGGACCTCAAATCAAGTTTAGAAACAAGCAAATCTTTCATCCTTTCTTTAAGGGTTTTCTTTGAGAGGAAGGGTTTAAAAAAACAGGTCAGTATCTTGTAAATACGGGGTTGCCATTTATTTTTACATACTGCATTAAATATGCCTGTTTTGTGTTCAGTGTCTTGTACCTATTCCACTGCCTCTGTCTGGGCAAATGTGTTTATATTAGAAAACTCCATGAGGGCAGGAAATGTAGTTTTTTAAAAAATCATAAATCATCTGGTTTGAACTCCACTTATCTAAGAGTATGAGGCCTGGGGAATACTGCACAATTGCTGGCCAAAATATGTAATCTGTCATTGACTATCAGATTTCCCATTAATCACATGTCAAATTTGTATAAAATGGATTTGTTTATAAATTGTTATGTGCACCACTGCAGGTTATTTTCACAAGCTTCTTATGAGTAAGTGGAGTGACTATTATCACCCTTACTATAATACTTAACAAAGAGAGACTAGAACCTATGTTTTCAGCATCTCTTTTCAGGTACCACTGATTTCACCTATTTCCACAACAGGTGAAAGGACTGAATCTATAATAATAAGGTCCAAGTAATTCTATTCCTGAACTGAAGGCCTAAAAATAGTTGTTCATATAAGTAGAGAATTCCTAAGAACAGGCGAATTTTAAATAAACTCCTGGAGTTGGGGGTGGACAAGGAGCAGTGGGACAGGGGTTTGTTTGCACAGGGAATTAAAATCGACAAAATTCAAATGAGGGATGAAAAATATCAGTAAATATCATTAATGACAGACACTATTTTTGCCCTATAACATATGAAAAAGATTTTGTTTTTATATGTATTTTTAAAATCTCACAACATACTTTTCAAAAAGTAAAGCTTCATTTTGTTTAAAGTATTTTATGTTAAGAAACATTTAATAGCATAAATTTTCCAAACTGCATATGATCAAATTATAACACCAATCTGAACACTATTAAGTATTTTATTACTTTGCTTAGTACTATTTGATAAGTATGAAATTACCTATGAAGTGAAAAACTTAGTACTACAAAGTACAATGGCAACAAAATACCTAAGAGGAAATTCAGCATTCCAATAATATCTGAGGTGGTTTTAACCCAGATAAACTAATTTCTGTCATTATCAACATGGTCATCAAAGAAAAACAGCCCTAATGAAGAAAAACTACTTTTATTTTCTCAGATTAAAAGATTCGTAAGACAAGCTGTGCAGGCATGAAGGAAAGAAAGGAAAGCTATAAAATGGAATAAAAATTACATTTTCCTATTCAACAGGTCAAAGAAATTGCTGCAAGGAAACAAAATAGGCCCAAGGAAGTATTTTAAAAAAAATGAAATCACCAGCAATCTTAGCCAGACACTAGGCAAAAATGAATGGGGTAATCTTGGGTATTATGAAGTTTTAAATGATGCAACAAAGCTATGCACTGTTAGGAAATAATGATGACAGAGATGAATCCAGAAAATTTAAAAAAAATGGGTAGCTCCTTTTGCACTTAAAAAAAAAAAAAAAGAGAGTCCAAGAAGGAAAGCTGAAAACAGAGTTAGATTGGAAACACCATGGCATAGGGGCTGTATGGGTTATCATTTACCTCCTCCAGGAGAGAGCAGCAGAAGCAATTTCCCTTTAAAGCAAAAGATACACACACTGCAACTAACCAACACCCATAAATCCAATCACATATTCCCCAAGGTCAACACCACACTGGATAGGAAAAATGAAAAGGACAATTATAATGCTGTTTTTATTTAAAATTTTATTGAAACTCTCTTTCGCCCCTTTACCGCTTCCTAAGTGAAAATGTATTTAAAGTCTGAGCCTGATGGTATTATCTTCAAATTATTCCTTAAATCCCTGAATATGTGGCTTTTGAAACTTGGGAAAGTGAAGCTAGGACAAGGGTCCATTTTACATGCCTGCTTCTTTGTTTATTCATGAGCAGAGCTAGACTAAGAAACCTTTCAATGAGAGGGAGAGCATGTCTGCAGGAGTATAACTCTTTATTCTGAATTCTACCGTCACTGGCCCCATGAAAGGCAAGGAACACGTTAGATAGGGTGGGGAAGGGAGTTTGGACAACTTGTGATAAAGAGGAGTAAATTCTTCCTAAACTCTTGGCAAAACCTAACAGGTTACCCGTACAGTCTGTGTCTTAAGTTAACATACTTAAGCAACTAGCATCAGAGTCTCCTTCAAGTGCCCTATGTATCTGTCATCAGTTTCCTCTTTGAAAGATTTCTCTTCTCTATCCTACTATATAGTTAGCAAGACCAGTTTTCCTTGCTTATGCCTATGAGAAATTGGCAAGAATAATTTAGGGTTTTGGAACACCATCTCTTATCTGTATCTCATTGGAGGTGTCTGCATTTACGAGTGTGTGTGGTTTTTAACAGAATAATAAATGCCTTAAAGCCCTTTAACGTGTTTTTAAAATCTACCTTTAGAGCAAATCCTACGCACTTGAATGACCATGAATAGTTCCTCATTCAAGCTACTAATATTTAAAGTATTATATAAATTTAGAAAATATTATCTAAAGGTATTTCCCATTAAATACATCTAGAATATACTTAGTTCAAATATTTAGAAAGATTTAACTACTGTTACTCATAACTACTCTGCTGTGAATTTGAGTATCAGACTACAACTTTGCTTAGTTAATAAGTGGTTGATAGCTGTCCACCCTCTGCAGAAGAGTATCTGAATATCCAGGGGAATAATACCTGAAAAAAGAAAATACTCTATTAAACGCTTGTGAAATGATCAGCACATAGTAGATACATAAGATTCAATATAGGGGATTTATCTTAAATAATCCTGTGAGTGAAACCTCAAATACACTCTGAATGACTATGTTCCAGTGATGCTTTGTGCATAAAGTTAGAGGCTATCCCGGAAAAGAATATGAATTCATAAAACTGTGCTACAGAAGTAACAAAACATTTAAGGGATATAAATGTAATGGCGAAGGGGGCATTTTCCAAACAAGAATCTTCAATCCAGTGGCAATATTTTATTACAGAGACTTCATTTTAATCATATCAAGTGGCTAATGTTGCTTTAAGGATCATAGCTAATAGATTATTTTTTCATAAGTTAGACTACACAGTCTACTGTTACTAATAAACTCCTGTATTCTGACTGCCTTAGAGATCATTTTCAGCATAGGTTTTAGCCAGATCTAGTCACCCAGGAAAACAAAAATTTCTGGGAGTATAACCCACATTGAAAAACTACTTAATAAATGGGTTACAAATACTTGTGTCATACAAACCTAGGAAATTAATCATTTTTACTATTAATAGTTACCGTATACAAGACTTAGTATAAAAGTATTAAATATGTTGATCAACACATTGTGAGATACTTAGTATGTCATGGAAATAATTTACATGGAGAGAAATGAATGTCAAAATTTAGCAGGCATTCTAGAATAAATAGATTTTTTAAATCTATGGAAATATATTTCAGAAATTCTCAAAACACTCAAAATATTAAGCTTCTGAAGGCATTTTCTCCAGATAAAACCTACTATTAGAGATTTGCTCTATCCTTTGTCCGTTATCTTCATCTACGCTCAGATGCTCGACTTACAAACTCATAATTTCACACTAATTTCTTCCACAATTTAGCAAGTTAAGGTGGACCAAAAAATAATACAACTGTACTTTCTCAGTAGTATGCTTATAGGCATCCATATTTAAACAGATACTTATGTACACATCCAAAAAACTACCTTAAAGAATATTTCTTCTCTAACAGCCTCTTACTCTGGAAAAAATTATCTTTCAACAGTGGGTTTCTTTGAAGTATTCTTAGACTAAGAAATTCACAACTGTTTCTTCTCTGAGTTAGTCAAAAATTTTAAAGCAGGCTTTACCTTCCTAGGCCTTCAAATGTATCAGACAACAGATATGAAGAATGCAAAAGGTAGATTCTTAACTATCTCTAAAATTTTAACCTTTTTTATTCAAATACTAATAAATTTTATACTATTTTAATGTAGTAAATATTTAATTTACCACATATATTAATATTTTACTTATTTAATGATATAGTATTCTTAGTACTGATATAATGATATCATTGATATTAGATTAATAATAATTATTAACACCATGTTAAATATGGGAGCCACCAGCTACATGTGGACTGAATGGGAACCACCAGCTACTGAGGACTAGAAAAATGGCTAGTATGGGCAGGGCGCAGTGGCTCATGCCTGTAATCCCAGCACTTTGGGAGGCCAAGGAGGGTGGATCACCTGAGTTCGAGACCAGCCTGACCAACATGGTGAAGCCCTGTCTCTACTAAAAATACAAAATTAACCAGGCATGGTGGTGCGTGACTGTAATCCCAGCTACTCAGGAGGCTGAGGCAGGAGAATTGCTTGAACCTGGGAGGTGGGGGTTGCAGTGAGCTGAGATCGCGCCATTGCACTCCAGCCTGGGCAACAAGAGCAAAACTCTGTCTCAAAAAAATAAAATAAATTTTTAAAAAAGAAAGAAAAATGGCTAGTATGTCTGTATTTAGATTATATAAAATTTGCAGTTGAAAGAATAGAGTAGGCTGGGTGCGGTGGCTCACACCTGTAATCCCAGCATTTTGGGAGTCGGAGGCGGGTGGATCACAAGGTCAGGAGTTTGAGACCAGCCTGACAAATATGCTGAAACACCGTCTCTACTAAAAATACAAAAAAAAATTAGCCGGGCATGGTGCTGGGCGCCTGTAGTCCCAGCTACTTGGGAGGCTGAGGCAGGAGAATCACTTGAACCCGGGAGGCGGAGGTTGCAGTGAGCCGAGTTCACGCCACTTCACTCCAGCCTAGGTGACAGAGTGAGGCTCTGTTTAAAAAAAAAAAAAAAATAGACTCACAAGTTGTTCCAAACATATCTAAAAGTTTTCTAACAACGGAATCAAGTGTCAGGTTTTTTAAATTTTAAATTCAATATTAAAAATTCAGTTTCACAGACATACTAGCCATTTTTTCTAGTCCTCAGTAGCCACATATAGCCCTTTGGCTAAGTATTTTCTCATTTAGTTCTAACTATATTAAATAAGTAATTATCTTTAACCACCTTGTATAGATATGGAAACTGTGACTAAAAGGGTTAACTATTATCTTCAAGGTCGCACAGTAAGTAGTTAGAACTGAGAGAAGAATTTAGGTCTGTTTGACACCTAAGCCTGAGCTCTTAGCCATACTCCTCCTGAAAGAACCAACATGAACCTCCAGGTAAGACCAGGAAATTTCTTCCCTCTGGCCAGCAACCACGGCTATGGCTATTCCAACTTACCTCTAAATGGCCTTTAAGAATGTAAATGAATTAACCTTATCCTAGACCCACACAGAATTAGGGTTATTATTATAATGTTATGCTACCAGAAATGTGCTGAATGGCAGACTGTGTGTCCATGTCTCCCTCCCCAAATTAGATGTTGCCCCAAGGTCACTTCCCCACCCCAGCTAAGGCAGAGATTTTGAAAACAAAGGAGTTCAAAAACACCTTATGGCTGTGAAATAAATATTTAGGTTGTAACAGATGAATGTATCCGTTGATACTTTCTTACAAAGGATAACTAGTTCTAAAATGTTGTCATCAAGTGATTCTTGAGAATTATGTAATTGTAAAAATAAAACTACTTTGAGATTATATTTGTCTATTTTCATAGAAAGCCAACATTTCAAATATTTCTATAAAATACCATTTTATACAGCTTAATGCTTTAAAATATAACAGAGGTTTTCCTGCTTGCCCTGTATGGTGAAATTATCAGAAATTTGAAAACATTAGTTAGCTAACCAAAATTCTTTAGTCAATTTAAAAAATGAAATCCCAGCTCACAGAATTGGAGAAGTTAAAAATTTACAATGGCATTTTGACAAAGCACCAGATTAATTTCTAATGTGACAGACTTTGCAGTTTCTCCTGGTGCTCAGTTAAAATATGCCTTCAAAAAAGTGGGAAAGACTTCTATTCAAGAAAGTACCCTACCATTGGTTGATTCTAATAGGTCATTCATTCTGGGTCTCAGGACCCTTTGGTTAGGTTTTTTTTTTTTTTTTTGGGCATCTTTCTATAATTTTGTTTGTAACAAAGTTGCACTGAAAGTTATATTAAACTTGTATAAAACAGCATTCTTCCTGAAGGGACATATATTCCATGTATAAAAATGAATTTTATTTTCTTGATAAAAGATTTTCATATTTCCTTCATTTAATGGTTTTACACATTTTATGTTAAACAAACTTTTAAAATATAAATCTGTGGTCGGGTGCAGTGGCTCAGGCCTGTAATCCCAGCACTTTGGGAGGCCAAGGCAGGAGGATCATGAGGTTAAGAGATCAAGACCTTCCTGGTCAACATGGTGAAACTCCGTCTCTACTAAAAATACAAAAAATTAGCTGGGCATGGTGGCATGAGCCTGTAGTCCCAGCTACTCAGGAGGCTGAGTCAGGAAAATTGCTTGAACCCAGGAGGCGGAGGTTGCAGTGAGCTGAGAGCACACCACTGCATTCCAGTCTGGTGACAGAGTGAGACTCCATCTCAAAATACATATATATATATAAATTTGTATGTTATATGTAGACTAATTATACATGTTATATCACTGCTTTGATGCATCATATATATTAATATTTTTAAAGCTGACTCATTGGAACTCTTTGGTCAAGTAGTTCTCATAAACTTCCTAAAAGTGTACCAACTGGCAACTCTGGAAAGAATTTACTGGATAAAAATAAGTGAAAAGAAAATAAATTTTAATCTTAAAATTGTTTTTGTGCTTTTAAAATTTATGTTACCATATGTATTAAATACCACTGTTACTAAATAGGAAGAATGAACTGAGTTGCAACTTACATAAGTATATGTTATAGCATGTAAGCTTTAGAGATTAGAATTTATATTTTCCAATATTAATCAAAGAAAATAAGAAATAAATGTAGGATTAGAAAAACATAGATAAATGTGCTTTTATTCTGCATGCCTTATGGGCATTCTTAAATTATTTAAATGATTCTATCTTTTCCTGGTTACTTTGCTTTTATTTATTTTGAGCTTACTAAAATAGTTTTCTTTTAGGCTTACAAGGACTGAGGCTTAGGCTGAATGCTCTGCAAATCAACTTCATTTAAAAATGAATTTTATTAATCTTGAAAATAGCATCTTGCTATATTACTCTGAAGTACCTGTATATCATAAACACTATTTGGGTTTTTCTTTTTTTTAAAATTTAGATAGTGACTCTTTTTTGTTACTCAACATCTTTTTTCTACCTGTGATACTCTCATTAATGTAAATGTGAGTTTAAGGCAGAAAAGTTATATGCAGGGAACTATGAAAATCACCATCTATTCTAAATCAGGTAGTCACAATTTAAAAACTGTTTAATTTGTACTCCATATTTGTGTATTCTTTAGTAAAGCATATATTAAATTAGTACAAAAATGTCTTCAATAACATTCCAGTTTGAATTGGAAATGTGCATGTCAGTCAGAGCAATTAATTTGTGGTGCGGGGGGAAGAGAAATAAAGGTATATACTGGCCTCACATCATATTTTGAAGTCCACATTTTGACACAGTGGATATAAAAATCTAGATTTGAGGGAAAGGATTCCCTGTTCAATAAATGGTGTTGGGAAAGCTGGCTAGCCATGTGCAGAAAGCAGAAACTGGACCCCTTCCTGACACCTTACACGAAAATTAACTCCAGATGGATTAAAGACTTAAACATAAGACCTAACACCATAAAAACCCTAGAAGAAAATCTAGGCAAAACCATTCAGAACGTAGGTGTAGGCAAGGACTTCATGACCAAAACACCAAAAGCATTGACAACAAAAGCCAAAATAGACAAATGGGACCTAATCAAACTCCACAGCTTCTGCACAGCAAAAGAAACAATCATTAGAGTGAATCGGCAACCAACAGATTGGGAAAAAATTTTTGCAGTTTACCCATCTGACAAAGGGCTGATATCCAAAATTTACAAAGAACTAAAGCAGATTTACAAGAAAAAAACTAACAAGCCCATTCAAAAGTGGGCAAAGGATATGAACAGACACTTTACAAAAGAAGACATACGCGAGGCCAACAAACATATGAAAAAATGCTCATCATCACTGGTCATAAGAGAAATGCAAATCAAAACTACATTGAGATACCATCTCACGCCGGTAAGAATGGCGAACATTAAAAAATCTGGAGACAGCAGATGCTGGAGAGGATGTGGAGAAGTAGGAACACTTTTGCACTGTTGGTGGGAGTGTAAATTAGTTCAACCATTGTGGAAGACAGTGTGGCGATTCCTCAAGGACATAGAAATAGAAATTCCATTTGACCCAGCAATCCCATTACTGGGTATATATCCAAAGGATTACAAATCGTTCTACTATAAGGACACGTGTACACGAATGTTCATTGCAGCACTGTTTACAATAGCAAGGACCTGGAACCAACCCAAATGCCCATCGACGACAGACTGGATAGGGAAAATGTGGCACATATACACCATGGACTATTATGCAGCCATCAAAAACGATGAGTTTGGGTCCTTTGTGGGGACATAGATGAACCTGGAAACCATCATTCTCAGCAAACTGACAGAGGAGCAGAAGATCAAACACCACATGTTCTCACTCATAGGCGGGTGTTGAACGATGAGAGCACATGGACACAGGGAGGGGAGCACTACACACTGGGGTCAGTTGGGGGGAAATAGGGGAGGGACGGTGGGGGGTGGGGAGCTGGGGAGGGATAGCAGGGGGAGAAATGCCAGATGTAGGTGATGGGGAGGAAGGCAGCAAATCACACTGCCACGTGTGTTCCTATGCAACAATTTTGCATGTTCTTCACATGTACCCCAAAACCTAAAATGCAAAAAATAAATAAATGGGAAAAAAAAAAAAAGAAATAAAAAGGGAATGTTTTTATCTGTGTTTCCAGATTTTATGTATATAATTATGTACATATGTTTTTATATATGTTGATTTATTCCATATATTGTAAACAATGATAGATTAATCATTTCATTTTACTTATATTCTTTAAAAATAACAATAACAAATATAATTAATCATTGCAAAAATGCTGCTTTATAGGAAATACATTTATATTGAATGTATTTTATTTAAAAATATTGAACTCCCCATCTGTATTTATCCATTCTTTCATTCCATTTATTCATCAAATGTAACCTGAGTACCTATTGTGTAGCAGACATATTCTACTATTTCTCAGGACCTTTCCATCCTTAAAAACTTCATGTTTATCTGTGCTGCCTGCACAAGCTGAGAGATTTGAAATGGGGATATTAGGACTTATTCTCATTTAAACTTTATTTCCCACCTTTCAAACAAATCAATTTCTGAAGTTAGAAAATAGAAGATAACCTTTAACTGCCCTTTCAAACGTTTATCATTTTAAAATACTAATATTAATTAATGGAAAGTCTGATTTGCATATATTCTGTAAATATGAGTCATACCTATTCATTTGAATCATGAGATTCCTTTGACTTCAAATTGTTTGAAAATCAAATAATTAAACTGTTAAAAAAAAAATCTAGATTTGAAAACAGAAAAATTACATTCTAATATTGAATATTTCAAAGTCCATTTTCCTCACCTCACTATTTCCTCTGGGTAACAATTGTTAATACTGTTGATGTAATCTTGAAGGAGAGAACCAGGTTCTGCTTTTATCTCTTGAACTTTTTTAAGGCCACCACTTGTTACAAAAAGTCGTCGAGCTTTGCTATCATGTGGCAGCACCTTGAAAAGTGAAGCACAGAAAAACGTCAGCTTTTCTTTTTCATGTTAGATTATTACTATTGAAAAACAATAATGTATGTGAGAAAATGTAAAAGAATTTATACCCAATATACCTATAACATAATGAGCCATATCTGCTGCTGATTTTAAGTGAAACGTGCTCTTTTTAGAATGTTGTAATTTTTATGCCGTAGAGATGTAATAAAGGCAATGAACATGGGCAAAGGCAATGGGGATCCACTCACAGATATAAAATATAAAGCTTACACCATTCAAGGTCTCTCTGCTCTCTGAGAATTTAAAGGCAAGCTCCTTAAAAAGCACAGAGTCTTGTGGGAACCAGCTCCTAAATACCTCTCCAGCCACCTTACCTACCAATTTTCTAAATATTGTTTCAGTAACATCATAGCATGCATGCTGTGCCATCTCTTGGCTTTGCACAAGCTGTTACCACTTCCAAAGATGGCTTTCCACACTCCAGAAAGCTCTCCCCTTAGGCTTGGTTAACTCTTAGTCATCTTTTAAGACTTAGCGCAAGCATTACCTCCTCTAAGAATTCTTCTGTGGAAACCCTTATCCCCTTATCCCAGGATGAGTTGAGTCTTTTTCTTCTGCCAGCATTCTGTCAAACCACTGTCAATGTGGTTACCACATAATACTTAAACACCACACAATATTTTAATTTTAATCAATATTTTAATTATCCATTATATGTCTGTCACAATATCACTGAAGGCAGAAACTATACATGAGTTGATTCATTCATTTCCCTCAGGCCTGGTGCCTAACAGAGGTTCAACAAATGTTTAATGAATGAATATACTGAAAAGTAGGCAGAGAAAGGCGACTGAAATGTTAGAGAGACATTCGAGAAGAAGATCAGAAACATAAAGAATCAATAAATCCAAGAGAAGATTTCTTAAAGCAACCAATCAGAACTAAAAAACAAGTCACTGAATCTGACAGTGAAGAGAAGGTGCTGAAGACTTGAGTAAGGGCAGCTGTGTGTGGAGGGGAAGTTGAAGCCAAGTTACCAGCAGCTGAGGAAAGTGTCCCAAGTAAGGAAGTCAAGGCAAACTTAAAAGTTTCAGAAAGAAAAGAGAGGGAATCAGTAGATCAAGCTAGGATAGAACTAAAGGCTAACGATGTTACAGATTTTGTTCTTAGGATCAAGGAGACTTGAGCATGTTTGAACATTGACAGGAAAAAGCCAGTGAAAATGAAGAAATTCATTATGAGAAAAAAAAAGCTGACCAGACTAGGAAGGTCATGAGAAGGAGGGGGGCTCACAACATAGGAAGTCCTGCCGTCTTCCTTGGTCACTGCTACTATCCCTGTGACAGAAACACCCTTTTTCCCCCACATCTTGTTCCTTCTGCAAGGACCAGCTCTTCTCACTTGTCCTTCCTCCACTGAAGCCCTATCTGAACACTTCAGACTGCATTCACTCATTTCTTCTTTTAAAAAGAGTTTACCTCCAAGTCTAGCATATTGAAACGTTTTCTAATTGTTTCGTCTGCTCTCCTCAGCTAGATTATAAAGTTCCCTGAAGATCAACTTTATCTTAATCTTTTTTGTCTGTTCCCCAATGCTCAACAGAGTTGGGTACACATAGGCATTTAACAAATAATTAAAACCACAAAAAGATCTTACTAATAGAACAATAATACAAATAAGCTGGGCAATAAAAGACTGCACTAGTATGTATTTGTAAAAATGTAATAGTCTATAAATATATTGGTTTTACATATTTCATTTGGCCTGGAGAAATTTTATTACTTTTATTACTATTTCTGTCCCCAGCCACTTTAGTATCTTTTCACTTTCTACCTTGCTTTATCATCTCTTTTTAGCGCTTTGGTATCCTTAGATTAAGAAAATATTCCTGAAGGCACATTTATAAGCATATATGATACAGGTACTGTATTTATTTTATCTTGGGGCTAACTTCCACACATCCCACTGGTTCTACTTATTTTAAACTCTTAATATAGGCTAGTGTTTATTTTCATACCTACTTCAATAAAACCAGAATATCTCACTCGCTAGGCTAAAAGATTACAAAATGAAACTTTCAGAAATAATGTCAATTACCCAGTTCAAGAACAGATGAATCTGTCTGTAGATGATTTACTCAACCCCTTACCCCTTATCCCTCTTAGATGACCAAATTAGCTGGTCACTTTTCTAGCACCCAAAAGTACACAAAAATAAAGAAATGGATCAGTTTCCCTTGCAGTAACTTAGTCTTTGCTCTGCATTATTTGGTTAGTCAGTCTGTCAAGAGGGCATGGCATTATATCTCCCGCATCCCATATAACTAAAAAGGGGAGAAAAGTTTGGCTATTTTCTTGGAAGGAAGGATAAAGGACTAGGTGTTTGATACACACAACAGTATCCTGGGTGGGTGGCTTCAACAATGTGAAACTTCTACTTTCCTGTGGGTCTGGCATTTGAGGGCCAGTCACACTGTTGGAGGTCATGAACAGAGCTGAGAGAACTGGAGGCTGTTAGCAGACTCTTTCAGATGAAGACCTAAAACTAGACAAACTTATCTGTAGGGGCTACTTTAAAAATTATAACAATACATAGTTTTTGTTCATTATTTGTGGAAATAGTATATGAATAGTAGCTTCTCATTTATATAGTATTATAACTGACTATTCAAATGAATTTGCCACTCCCCATTCATTTTTTAAAAAATCTTTTAAATTAGCCTTGATTTAATTTATTTGCATGTTTTCTTTTCTTTTCTTTTTTTTTTTTTTTT